GGCAGATTTTGATTGCAGTCAAATCGAAGTCGCCATCATCTCCTCCAAGATGCGCTCCTCCTCCTCATTCTCTACGTCTTCATCATATCCTCCAGCAACTGCCCCAAAATTTAACAGAACATCGTCGTCATTCAATATGCGTCTCTCGTTGTTTCTAGCTAACGCGGCTTCGGATTCTATCTGAGCCTCCCTGACCTTTTGCTTTGCTAATTCAACATTCCTCCTGGCATTAGATATAATATCACCAGGTACGATACTATCTGCCTCGCGTAATGGCTCAAATCCTCGATCATAGGCTGCTTCAACAGCGGCATCCAGTGCAACATCAAATTCCGCTTCAGAACCATCGCTGGCATTGCGGCCGTGTTTCGGTCGGATATAGAATAACGATGAGCGCGATCGAATTGAGGAACTTGATGAAGCGCCAGACTCATCAATAGTGTCGAGCCAGGATATTGATTCGTTGCTTGCATCACGGGAATGCTGTTTCGGCAAAGGCGGAAGAGGGTTTGATGATTTTAATTGAATCGATGCTTGCTTCGTGAATTCCGTTGGTGGGGAATACGTGTTTGGCGACGAAGGCGTCTTACCCGTCGTTGCGGGATCCAAACGTGCATGTTTTAATGTCTCCTTAGAAACTTTAGCTTTTATACGAGTGGCGTTTTTAAACGACTTGGACTGTGAACGTTCGTGTAACAGTCGTGAATTTGAGACTGAATTTGAGAGTCTAACATCCTCATCAAATACAGATGGTAGTAGAGACTGGCGTCTTGGAGGGATTTGTGAGGGAGCTAAGCTGCGTTGCCCTCGAGAGCCACCAGAATAGGTGCCGTCATTGGTGACTAGGTTCGCTACTACAGGTGTTGGTGTATCCTGATACTCTGTCTCATTCATCGGATACGACGGGAAAACAACATCAGAAGGAGATTCCGCCCCCTGAGGTGGCTCAGGTAAAGCCTTCCCATCGGCACGCTGGGATGGTAGACCGAGCCTTCGAAGCTCAGTTACCCGACTCGTATAAGTATTTCGCTGGATGCCTCATATGTTAGAATTGGACCTGTATATGGACATTATGACAAATAACGATAATAACAGTAACGATTAATATGATGGGCATTGAGGGAAAACGGACAATCTCCTCTAGCTTCTGTTTCTCATCATGACCACCACTATGATGCATCACATGTTGTAGGAGCTGACACGCATCGTTGTAAGCATCGATGGCGCCCTCGTAGTTTGTAGCATTATCGAGGAGGACAGCAGCGTTGGCCTTCTGTAACGCCTTAGAAAGCATTGTTTTTTGGGACGGGGCTCGATTTTCCCGGTCCTGTTGTTTATCTCTATTCATTGAGACAAAAGCCCCTATCTAGGGCAGGGCTAGTACGTGGGGTACAAGAAAAGGGGTGGAGTCAGAAGTTTGGCGTCTGAATGAGCCCAGCAGCATTAGCCCGCAAAAGAACTTTAACCTCGTCTGAAGGGGCATGAAGGTGGTCCACCTCTTGCAGAACTCCCTTGTACTGTGTGCGGGCAGGACCGATCCTCCTCTTCAGCGACCAATGGGAACAAGTATTGTGATATAAATATCCAATCGCAGGTAATCGACGGGAGGGTAGTCAGGAATCATAGACCGAAGGAAATATTTTTACAGTTAGCTGGACGACTGGCCAGTGCTGAGAAGGGTTTTTGCGAAGGACACGACAGGTGACTAGATTTGAGAGAAGTGCTGTTCGGCGACAGCTGAAAAGTCTCATGGGAACAATCGCTCGAAGGCTCATTTGGCAGGACGGGAATTCATCATTGAGTGGGGGAATCCGAGGTCAAAGCCAGGCCTTTTAGACGGCCTGGTTAATGATGGGCGACGCTGGGAGGTTGCGGGCTGACAGGAGTTCTTTGATAGGCGACCAAATGACCGAGCTAGCACTCATTTGGCCGCTTGCTGGGGTTCCACTGATTTAGACTTGATGTTTGAAATTGGCGCGCGGCCGTGGCCACCTTGGAGCCTTTCGGATGAGTGTACGATGCATTGAGCCAAACATGGGAGGGATATTTCCGGTTGAAGGCAGTTAGACAAAGGGAATGAGAAGACGCTTGGAATTCCAAATATGACGAGAACGATAACGTACACCTGATCTCGGGCGGAAAACAGCCATCATCATCTCATATTTTCTTCAAAAAAAAGAAGAAAGAAAAGAAAAGAGAGAGAGAGAGAGAGAGAGAGAGAGAGAGAGAGAGAGAGAGAGACAGGCATAATCTAATCCTCCATTAACTGTTCTAATTACAAGAATAAGAGAGACGGGAGGAAAATGAGAAGAGAAGAACTACTCTATATATCCTTGTCTGAGATCCGGCCACGATAAGGGTCTTCCAAGTAATTCCCTTGATTGAATGAAATAACCTAAAATGGCAATAACATACTAAGAAGTCGAA